CCTCTTCAAACAATGTTGCTTGTCTTGCATCGCTTGTGCATCATATTACTACCTTATGGGAGAAAACTATGTATAGAGCATGTGTTTGTGTTTGTGTGTGTGTGTGTGTGTGTGTGTGTGTGTGTGTGTGTGTGTGTGTGTGTGTGTGTGTGTGTGTGTCTGTGTGTCTGTGTGTGTGTAGGTGTGTGTGTTTAGGTGTGTGTGTTTAGGTGTATGTGTGCATGTAAGAGGGACCCCATGCTGTGTGTGTAATTTCTTGTTTGTACATGGTTCCAAACATCTTTGGCCACTGCAGATCAGGGGAGAGATATAGAGAAAGACAGAGAGGTTGAACAAGACAGGAAAAGATTGAGAGAAAAGGAAAGAGAGGGGGGAGATGGGAAAAACAGGATGATAACAAAAGCAGCTCGGATTTCACAGACGCATATTTCATCAATCATGTGAATAAGTCGTGGTGATTATGCATGGCGGTGGCAGGCCGAGGGGGGGCTGATTACCATACACCATAAAGGCTGCTTTCTTATCTCACACACACTGATTAGTTTCTGTCTGCAGATAGCCTCTCACTCCTCGCTCTTTCTCTCTCACACGCACACACAGGCACTCATGTCTAGCTCTGGCATACACATACATGCAAACACAAGCATGCACACACACACACTCACAAATGCATAGCCATAATACTGTTAAAATCATCGGTAAATTGGTGGCAGTGGGCCAACCCCAAGCCAGATGAGAAAAGTTCACTGTTCCTCTCATTGCTAACTGGTTTTACTTAATCAGGAGTCTTCTTGGATCTTGGAGAACTGAACACTTCTCCCAAAAATGTACATTAGAGGTTTAGAATAGCACAAATGACAATCAAGTATGTTTTGCAAGCAATTTAAGAAGAAGGCAGTCAAGCTGAAAAAAAAAAAGTTCTCATGCCGCCACACTGTTGGGAAAAAGGCACCAAATAAGATTTTGAAATGGCTCATTTGTGGTGTGGTGTACCATGTTCCAGGAAATTTTCTGCTATTTCTGCCAAATATTCCAATGCTCATTTTTTATTTCATGATTCCAGTATGCAGGAAACTGAGTAACAATCCACCATAAAAAAAGACCAATATTTCATATCTTAAATTAAGGTTCTTTCAAAAAAGGAGAAGCATGCACAATAGGCCTTTTATACCTTTGCAGCTGAAATTTATACCAACATATATGTCGTCTACTTTTTCTTAGTTTTTTCTGTGGCCTTTACATGATGCAGAACAAGAGAGAGAGAGAGAGAGAGAGAAAGTGAGACAAGAGGAGGATAAGGAGGTGAGGCTGGAGCAAAATTAGCTACGTATGAAAGGCCTCGCTTTGTGTCTCAACCAGGGAATTAGAAATTACTCTTTTCTCTTCTGCTCCCCTCTCTCTCCCTCACTCTGATATATAATGTAAACTAATTTGGTAACCAGGCTGGAGCTGCGTAGCGCCGTCTGAGTGCCTGCATGTGAGAAGTGCGCCTGGGACGCATTAGGGCCTCCTGACAGCGGCCTGGGTGAAATAAGTGAAATTAATGGAGCTCCTTTCATGTCGGACAAGGCCGCGGCACCCCTTTCACGCCGCGTACAGTCACAGAAAAGTCAATACTTTTTTATTACTCCTCGCTTGCCCTACATTCCCCGCTACAAGTGCTCTGCTCACTAATTGGTTTCAGTTTGCAGAGAAAGAGAGAGAGAGGGAGAGGACTCCATCCCAAAGAACACTGAAGCAAATAAATCAATCTCATATTTTTTCTCCCCGCTGTCTTTTTTCATTGAGTAACATCATGGCAGAGAGAGGGAGAGATGAGAGAGAGAAATAGAGGGGAGAGGGAGAGGGTAAATGGTTGGTTAGAGCACGCCTGGTCCCCAGGGAGCATAATGATATCTAGGAGCCTGTTAATGGAGACGAGTGGTTAAAGTGGTCTGGGGCCCTGGCCAGGTCACCCTTGGGGGTTTCTAACCAGCAACTCCACTCAGTTGGCTGCTTGCGCTCTGGGCTCAGAGGCACAATGGAGCATCCCACCGAAATACAATTTCAGACAAACGCTTTGACAGATTTGTAGAAAATGACATTTAACTCAACTCTGTGTGTGTGTGTGTGTGTGTGTGTGTGTGTGTGTGTGTGTGCAGATATGTGGCGAAGTTGAAATAAGTTTTCAAATGCATAAAGGCCTCTGTAGCGACTGATTACATTGTGTTTTGTTGTGTGTGTGTGTCTTGCTGCACTGACGTCATCTGATTTGTAAAATTATCACAAATATTGTCAGTATGTGTTGTTATATTATGACATGTGCTACTGAATTGTTTACCCATAATTAACACATATTTCTCTAAATAAATAACTGTTTTGAGCGGTTATGAATTTGACTTCTATAGACACTGTATAACTGCATTTTTGCACTTCTGTGTTTCTGCAGGTATATACGTGTATAAGTGTGTGTGCATGCATGTGTGTTTGTACTGTATGTATGTGTCCTGTCTGTCAATAGGGTTTTCAGTGTTAGGCTAAGCTTAAGTGGCAGTGGGGTTAGCCTCTTTCAGAAGCAGCACAGCCACAAAATGATGTGACACTTTGAACCCCCACCCCACCAGCCCACCACCTCTCAAAACACACACACACCAATCAGCCTCCAGTTGAAGGGAGGTTCCACCAGTCTCGTTTTCTTTCTGCGTCCCAGCTTTCACAGCTCTAGAGTGCGGGCTAGGGTAGGTTTGGGGGGCTACAGCATGTGTGTATGTGTGTGCATGCGAGTTTGTGCATATGTGTGTGAAGAAGCTGTCACACAGGGCTGGCATCACCATCCAGTTTGCCATCTCTTCCTCAGCTTGACAAGTCCCTGCTCCCTACCCTGTGGCTAACACACACGCACACACACATGCAGACATTATGTCTCTGTCACTGTCTTACTCCTCTCTCACACACACATATCATATGTGAACGCACCAATCGCAAACTCACATGTATTGTTTAAATGCATAAAATGAATAAATTCATGAGAACACACGCTTATTCAGATGCACAGACAAGTATGTGCTGCATATTACACGGTGAATGTGTGTGACAAAACATGCAGTCTGCGCTGGACAGTGACAGTAACACATCAAATCACATCATTGTTATTGAAAATTGGAGCTTTCATTTTCAATTTAAACCAGGATTTGCTTCATTTGTTTTTTTGTTTTATTTGTTTGCAAGAGCTTCTATTGTGTTCTAGTGTGTGCGTGTGTGTGTGTCTGTGTGTGTCTGTGTGTGTGTGTCAGAGTGAGAGATCTTCTCGGCAGTTGTTGGCGTCAGATCGCGGAGGGGTTCTGTTTGTTACAAGGACAGGCTTGTCCCCGCCCCCAGGCATCGGCATTACGATGATTGTCATGGCGATGGAGTGTGAGTGACAGGCGGGATCACATGTGGTAGCCGGGGAGCAGGAAGCCCGAACCGCCCCAGTCCCTGACATTAGTTTGTCCTTCATCAAAACTTTACACTCGTTTATAACTACTCACTCCCTCTGCTGCAAAATGTCTCTCGTTTACTTGGTTTTTTTACCATCTGTCTCTCTCATGTTCTGATCTCTCTTTTCCTCTTTTATTTCTGTTTCTCCTGCTCTTCTCTCTCATTTACATTTCATTTAATATTGTTGTATTTCCACTCATCTTTCCCTCCTCATCTCTCTCTTTCTCTCTCCCTCGCTTGCTCTCTCTCCCTCTGTCACTCTCTCTCTCGCTCTCTCTCCCTCTCTCATTTACTTCTTAATCTCTCTCTCTCTCTCACTGTCTACCTACAGTGCCAAGTTTAAGATATATTTTTTGGGGGTTTTTTGTGGTTATCGCACAACTTTCCAGGTAATCTAAATGATCAGTGGATAGGGCAAATTGAAGAACAGGTCATATCATTTTACACCTATATTCAGACACACACAGTCACATGCACAGTGCATTCCCCAAGCATCCAGGCAGTGTTTTTTTTTTTTTTTTTTTGTCAAGATGTATGTTGATGCAAGCCTGTGTGTGTGTAGCTATACATAAATGCGTGTATATGTGTGCATTTTGGTGAGAGCTACAGCTTTTTGTGCATCACAGCAGAAAAGGAGGTCAGGGTTTGCACGGAGACTCAGGCATTCATCATTAGCCTGCTGCCGCTGCCGGTAATGTTGCCCGTTACAGCCGTGATTAAGAGCCCCGCTTAGTTCCAGCAGCCGGTGCAGACGCACAAACACACGCATATGTGTGGTACCAACTACCAGCTTTGGTACTTTTATAAAAAAAAAAATCTCTTTTACACCATCACCCAGGTCAGCATGCGTTCATGCGAGTGTGTGTGGGTTTGTTGTTTGGGGGCTGTACTGTACATGGTCTCTAACTGGGAGCAGGCTTCAGGGCCTGATGAGAAACCTGTCACAGTCACTCATGAAAAGAGCAATTCACACACACACACACACACACACACACACACACACACACACACACACACACACACACACACACACACACACACACACACAAGATGCAGGAAGTTGCACACAGTCTTGGTCAGTGTATTTGGAAACCATAATGGATGAATGTACACCTTAATCCCCATTACCAAATGCAGAAAACGTAAACTACACCACATTACATCGTGACAGCTCTACTAATTCTAACTAATTCAAACTCACCTGTTAGATTTTCACAATGATTCAGTACGTATCCAGCATATATGATGCAAATCCAGCAGGTGAGGCACAGAGCCACAAAAAATGTATTCATGTAAATTGAAAGACACAGTCTGCTTTCCCTATTGCACAGTTCATCCCCTAGTTGTCTTTAACTTATGATTGGTTTACAAAATTGAAGTGGGTGACCACTGGTGTTCAGTTTTAATAATCTGTTTGCCTGTTTAGTGGATTCAGAACATTGATATTTCAGTTTAATTGATGCTGATTTATCCAATTTTTTCATTTTTCTCTCCATCCCTCCTCCTCTTGTCCTCTCTGCCTTGCCTTGCCTCCCCTCCAGCCGTTCAAGACAGCATTCACCACCTACGTTTTTGATAAGTTCACTTGTCTGTACTCCAAGGCAGTCAGCATTGTGTGATACACCTCCCCCTGGCCTGCGAAAATGAAGAGAAGTACAAATAAAGAAAGGTTTTCCTTATTATTTTGTATTTATTACAGTGCCTGATGTGTTCATGTGCACCTCATGTAGCCTTTTTGTTAAAGAAAACAAACTTCACAGTGTTCTGCTGCCTATTATGTTAATTTTATTGTCCAGAATGTGTGTGTTAGTCACTGAGTGGGAATATGCGACTCAAGCAGATCTAACCTGGTTTCTGAGATATAGCATGTGTGCCTGCAAGTAGTGATAGTGCCAGCAAAGGAGAAATTCTCTCATACTATTATACCACTATACCAACAGGCCTGCACAGTTAAGAATGTATTTCTGGGGCCACTGCATACTGCATATTAACATACACATATCACCATATCACAATGCACAGCATAGAATCAGAAATTGAATTGCTGACAGCTTGTTGTGTCGTAGGTCACAGGTCAACACAAAGCAGTGCTGGTACTCAGAGGACACATTTGATGATTTCACAGCTGTTAACTGTTGTTTGTCAATGCAGTCACCAAAATAGTTTATAAACATTTTTAATTGCTTTAATGAGGGGGTCTAGTATTTTAATGATAGAATATGGGATGCTATTGGTTATTGATGCTAGATCACGCCATAGCTGAAAATGATGATACTGTCTATGTTACGATTTTATGATGAATCTGTTATTAGTAATGTACTGTTGAACTGTAGAATAGCTACCCCGTGCTAGATTATAAGGATGGCTTGGTGGGGGTCATTTATGACCATAATTAACTTTAAAAAATGGGATTTAGCAACAGCTTAACTGTCTAATTACATTGGGTAATATAATAAATAAAATGGGATCAACACTGAGTGATGAGTTGAATTACTTTCTACTTTTTTCTACCTTTATTTATCAAGAAAGTGTGAACTGATATTGTTTTTCATTGTCTTGTGATTTGGAGTTTTCATATAGCAAACAGTAAAAATAATTAGGCCTGAGATTAATGATAATTTTCATTATTGATTAATCCGTCTGTTAATTTCACAATTATTTGATTGGTCTATGAAATATATGCAAACTGTGAAAAATAGCCATCAAGAGTTTCCAGAGAACTATGCTGACAATTTTCTTGCTTTGTCTGACCAACAGTCCAAAACCCAAATATATTCTGTTTAATATCACAGAAGTAAATATTCACATTTGATAGGTTGAAACCAGTGAAAATTTGCCATTTATTGTTTAAAAACAGTTATTTGATTGTCAATTGTTTCAGATCTAAAAATATCTTCCACAACTGTTCCACATCTTTTTTCTTCTTTCTTTCTTTATCTTTTTTGTAACTTATTTAAAATTCAAGAGTAAATTATTGAGACTAACGCTCAACTTTTGTCTGGAAGTGTAGACTTCAGATGACAACTCCTGCCCCTGGGCCCCGAGGCAGAACTTCCTCATGAAGTTGTCTGTTTTGATGGCAAAGTATTAAGTGAGTTCAAAGTATGTGCTCTTTATAATTCTCTGTCCCTGGCACAGACACGAGGGTTTTACCATTAAATCTTCTTTTTAATTCTCTTACAAAAACTCCACCCTTTCTCTGCCTCTTCGTCGTCTTCACTCTTCCCTACACCTGTTCTTCCGTTCTTCCCTCTCTGTCTGTCTCTGCACTCTTCTCCTCTCCCTCTCTTCCATGTTGCTGGCATTCCCCTGGGCCTGTGCTGTAAGGCGTGGAAGAGGAGCAGAGACAGAGCATTTAGTAATGGCTTCTTAATGGGCTTGTCGACAGCCACATTAGAGCGCACAGACAGCGGGCGAGGCCGGGCAACGATATGCCAAGCCAGATGCCATGCCAGCTGTGGCACTCCGCTCTCTCACTCATGCTCTCATTTGTAATCACATCTCTCATACGGATGGACGCCATGTGCGTAACGGAGAGAAAGCAGACAGACAGGCATGTCCCCTCCCAGTTCCTGTCAGTATATTCTTTTCATCTGCTCTGGTCTGTGTTTTGTCCCTTTTGTTAGTTTCTGTTTTTTACAGTGATGTAGTGGTATGAAAATCCATAGCTAAACTGTGATCACAAGATCTGAAAAACCAGCTAAAAAGATGTATCTCAGGGCAAGAAACACAAGCCATCCGAGGCATGTACAGGTTTGAAACAAATTCCAAGGGTTAGACTTGTTCCTGAAGATACAACATTGGCAAATAGTACAATTATTTCATCCACAACATAATTTATCAGCCGACTACCTGGTTCAGCTGACCTACTGAACTTGCTATAGCTCAACCGATTCTGGATTTTTTTTTTTAGACCAATATGATATCAATATTTGAGAATCATGAGCAACATGTCTTCACATATAAACAAACATTTTTGATGAGGATCCGTTAAATTTAGTTTACTTATAAGAATCATGACCAAGATGTGTACTGAGGGGGACATTTAATAGTTTTAACCAACATCATGTGTTTACTTTAGGTTTTACTTTCACATGAATTGTTTTAGATTTTCTGGCTAAACAGCTGTTTTGTTTACAACCTGTCTGACCAGGCTTTCTGTTCTCTCTGACTTCATTGTAGCATTGTGAATGTTTTCCCAAATAGCAATTACTTTGGTTACTGTAATGTAACACAGACATAAATTAAACTATGAAAATAAGTTGTTAATCATACAGAATCATTCTTTAAGTTGATTTTCGATCAGATTCTTGGTTATTAAAAGTTCTATGTATATGTCCAGAAGAGACTCGTTGAACATTTTTCAGCTGGTACAACTAAATTAGAAAGATGCTTTAATCTTGCATAATAAACCGATGCAGGAAGGAAAGAAGGAAATGTGATAAAGGAGTATGATAAAGTAAGGGGAAAATGAAGATAGAGAGAGGGAGGAGTGATTAAATGAATAGATGGATGATTGAATCAATTAATGAATGTTAATGTGCTACAGTGTAACCGGGGACTGGGATGTCATTGCCAAAGGTCTTATAGGTCTCCAGTAGGGGGAGCCATGTGTCAGTGACTCCAGTCTGTGTCAAAGACCTTCATCAGTACAATAGTGTGTGTGTGTGTGTGTGTGTGTGTGTGTGTGTGTGTGTGTGTGTGTGTGTGTGTGTGTGTGTGTGTGTGTGTGAGAGAGCGCTGCCAAAGACTGAATAGTCAGAAGGTGGTTCTTTGTTTCCCCATCTGATCTGATCTCGTTGCTACCAAATTTTCCTGCGTCAGCGATGATCAAGTGTGATGAGGATGCAAAGAGAAAAAGGTGTGTGTGTGTGTGTGTGTGTGTGTGTGTGTGTGTGTGTGTGTGTGTGTGTGTGTGTGTGTGAGAGAGAGAGAATACCAAACCGTGTATGTGCATGTGTTTGTGTGTGTTTATGTATTGGCAGCTGATAGTATTTTAGGAGTTGAAGCCTACATACAGACTGGTGGCCCACAACACCATATCGACAGCTGCCAATTGTCACTTCAATGACTGACAGTTCTGTATTGATGGACGGGACCTGCTGACAGAGAGATGGAGGACAAAACAAGAGGAAACAGAACACCATTGGTGGAGGGTTGGTGGAGGAGAGGAAGAAAAGAGGCTGGCGCAGAACACAACACTGACTGGGACCTATTAAAGTTTCTCAAGGTCATGGTAAGGAGAGAACAGAGAAGAGGGGTGGGAAGGGAAATGTCTAACCCGGGTCAGTCTACTATCTGCTCTATCATGAGGGTGTCGATTTTTTTATGAAGTCCAACATTGAAAATTGTTTGTCTACCAAGGATTCACTTATGCAGCATATATACTGTATATATACGTATATATTATAGTAATGGTGATGCTCTATAGCGAAGACTGTTTATGCCATATAGATTCATACTGCGAAGTAAAGACATTTTTTTCACTGAATCAAAACCATACAGACCATGTTAATGTCAACTGTGGGAAATACTATATTAATATCATTGAAATAAAAATCATTTTGACTTTGGCCTTTAGGCTTTTTGACTTGTCATAGTATAGGGAAAGTGTTAGTGTTGCTAATACCATGCACCTGAAACTGAAACAGCTAAACCAAATTCAGTTATCATTAATCTTTTTTATTTACACCTGCACTTTTCTTACTGTGACATACCAAAAGGTCTTCAGTGAAAAAGGCCTCTCCACCTACAGTAAGAGCATCCTTTCCAAACAAATAACCAAGAGTGTGTTCAGTGCTACGGTACAAATGTTTTGTTTTGTTTTTTTGTTTTTTTGATGTATTCTTTTTTCCTGGCATGATTAGATGTTGTCTGAAAAAGTGGCTTTTCATCCTGTTGCAGTAGATGGGCAGTCATAAATCAACATAGGCGACTGCAGAGGCGTGATGGGATGGCCAGTTGTCCAGAGGATTTGACCATGGATTGGAGTTAGAAAATGCATGTGAGCTGCATTTAGAAGCCAATGCAGTCAAAACTTAATTATTTCTAATTGTAGTTTTTGTGCATATACTGTATATGCATGGAAGGTGCTATATAACATTTTTTTTTCGAGCCTGTCTGAGTACAAAACTTTCTACTCACTGATTGGCTGACTTCCTGCTTACTGATTGGCTTGTGTTTTGTTTTTAATCTAAAAGACATCATAGCTCTGCTGAGAGGGAAAGGACTAATAAGCTTTTGTTGTTGTTGTTTCTCATTGTTCTGGCAGAGTAGTTTTGGACTGAGCTGACATCTTTGTGTCTTTTTATTGACCTTCGCAGCCCATCCTTAAAAAACACACACACACCTCACCACCATAATATTTTGTATATACACACACATACAGTACACACACTATAGGTGTGTGTGTGTGTGTGTGTGTGTGTGTGTGTGTGTGTGTGTGTGTGTGTGTGTGTGTTGCCTCACCTCAGGAAACTTGTGGCTAATTCCATTAGTGGGAGGAGAGAGTATGTAAATGAGGGGAGACAGCTGGTGGTGAAGGGAGGTTGATGGAGTGAGCCTGGGGGGTCACAGACACACACCCACACACAAACAGGGGGGGAATGATGGGGATGATGTTTATACTGTATGTGCACTATTGTACAGCTACACCCAAATTCTATGAAAAGTTTTATGAATGTTTCTGCCACATTGCAAAATGTGTGATATATGTTCATATCTAGTGTTTAGGCATGTTTAGACACTCACAGTCTTGATTAAGGAACTGGGAGATGGAGAGTGGGGTTGGTCAAATATTGAGAAAGAGAAAAGTGACTTGAAGGATGAAATATCGATGGCTCACTTTATGTGATGCGATTCTTCCAGGACTGACGTGGGCAGTAGCGTCCTAGTGTCACACCAAACTTGGAGAGAGGAAGAAAAGGAAAAAGAAGAAGAAGAAAAAGAAGAGGGCAGGCACAGTAAACAATATTAACAACAGGTGGAATTACAGCAGCAAATATAGTTGCAGCAACAGGTCGGCGGCAACTTGTGGAAAAAAAACACAGCATGACTGTTGTATGGAGATATTGTGCATTTGACGCAGATCATCATGGACAGCGAAAAGGCCAAACTTATCTAAGCAGCTCAAAGACAGGCATCCGCATCTGCACACAAGATTCAGGGTGAGTGAGTTTCAGCTGTTAACTTTATATCAACAACATGTCCTCAAACTGTTCACTCCTGAAATGTTACTGCTATTGTTTGTGATTTGCGACAGCTGACATCTGTTGTAGAAACGCTCCACACACAATTCACACTGGCTAACTTTAGCTTGTTTAGGCTAAAGTAACAAAAGCTCGCAACATGAACTAGGTGCTCACAACACGAGCAGGCTATAGTCATTACAGTTCTTTCTGTCAGGGTATAAAAGTGACTTTTTTAAATGAATATTTTCACGCCATGGGTCTGTCA